TGTGGTCTGCTGAATTACCAAAACAAAACCTCAGCAAACGGAACAAAGTAGCCCGGGTCTGGGGTGTGGCTCAGAGAGCACTTGCCCAGCATGGGAGGCCCTGGAGTCCATCCATAACACCAGCCCTAGATGCGCCACAGATACAGTGTTTACAAGCTAACTCCTGCCTCCGGGGTCACTATCCCCCCACAACCAGTTTCACTCCTGAAATTTGTCTACATTCCTGTTCTCCCCTACACAAACAGAAATACACAAGTTCTGAATTATGCTGGCCTAATGGGTAATTTCACGGATTGCCTTTCTGATGTAGTAAGTTTGTATATTCTGTAACAAATTTGTCTTTGTCAGCTTGTTCTAGCAAACCTTGGAATCTTTTAACTTTGGTGACTATACCCTGACGCAATGTGCTCAGGCAAGCTCCGCTGTCTGCCAGGAAGAAAAGTGATAGGGAGGACCAGAGAGTGGGAGGGCCTGCCTCCTCCTCTGGCAGCATGGGTATAAGAAATTGCCGGGAATTCTTGCATAAAAAGAGGCACCAACAACAGTAAGTATTAGGCTGGAGAGAGGGCTCAGTGGTTAAAAGCACTGACTGCTCTTCCAGAGGACCCAGGTTCAATTCCCAGCACCCTCATGGCAGCTCACAACTCTCTTTAGCTCCAGACTCCGGGGATCCAATGCCTTATTCTGGTCTCCTTGGCAGAGGTGTGCAATGGTGCACAGACACACATGCGGGCAAAATACCATACACATAAAAATAAATAATTAAAATGTAAAAAGAGGCCTTTGTTGGAGCTTGGGAAGATGGCTCAGATATTAGAGCACTGGTTATTCTTCCAGGGGACCCAGGCTCAGTTCTGAGCACCCACATGGTGGCTCACAACTTCCTGTAAATCCAATTCCAGGGATCTGACCCCTCTTCTGACCTCCAAGAGTGCCTGGTATGCACATGGTCATACAAGCAGGCAAAACACAGATACGTAAATAAAATATTTTAATTAGCCAGGTGTGGTGATACCAACCTTTAAACCCAGGACTCGGGAGGCAGGCAGATCTCTGCGAGTTTGAGGTCAGCCTGGTCTACAGAGCGAGTTTCAAGACAGTTAAAGCTACAGAGTGAGACCTTGTGTTATAATCTGCTGGCCTGGTCTGTCACCTGGGTACCCTGACCCTTTAAGAGACAAGTTCCACCCACTCCAAACCTCCCCCATTCTGGCAAGTGGACTGCCTCTCTCTCTCTCTCTCTCTCTCTCTCTCTCTCTCTCTCTCTCTCCTTCTTTTGGAGAGGCAGCTTTTGCCTCTCTCCCTTCTCCCTCCTTTTCTCCCCTTTCCCCCTTTCCCTTTCCCCTCCATAACCCACTAAATAAACTCTATACCCAGACTCTCTCTGCATGGCGCATCTGTCTCTCACCTGCTGAAGTCTCCCACCCACCAAGGGGACCCTGGGAGACCTCGGTGACCAGTTGCTGCCCCTCGTGGCACCGGCCTCCAGTCCGCCATGTCTTTATAAATGACAACACCTTGTTCCAGGAGGAGAAAAAAATTGTCTCTTTGGGGTCACCACTGATGCCCGCAGCTGTTCCTGGGCTCTTAACTGTGATGTCTTCTGTCAGGGTGCGGCAGGAACTGGAATCTTCAGGATGACTTCAATTGCCCAAGACAGGCTGAGTAACAGCCAGGTGACATCTTGGGTCACAGACTTTCTCCAGGTGTCTTTGAGTGATGTCCTGGAATCAGTTTGGTCTCACTGTTACCTAGTTACAACATCTAAGCTTGGGAGGCCAGCACTGATACACAGTGATCTAATATTAGCAGGAGGGAGACTGTGATTGGAGTGTGGTCTCTCTCCAGAGCTGGAGGCTCACAAACCTCTTTTCTCTTTTCTTTATCAGTGGCCTGGGCCCTGCAAACATGCACTCAAGGAAAATACCCTGCTCTAGCCACACCGCCAGCCCTCGCTTGCTTCTTTGTGTGTGTGTACATGTGGGTGCTCGTGTGTGTGTGTGTGTGCGCGCGTACACGTGGGTGCTTGTGTGTGTGTGTGCGTGTGTGCACACGTGGGTGCTCGTGTGTGGGGGTGCATGTGTGTATACATGTGGGTGCTCGTGTGTGTGTGTGCACACGTGGGTGCTCGTGTGTGTGTGTGCACACGTGGGTGCTCGTGTGTGCGCATGTGTACACGTGGGTGCTCGTGTGTGTGTGCATGTGTGTGCACACGTGGGTGCTCGTGTGTGTGCGCGCGTGTGTGTACACGTGGGTGCTCGTGTGTGTGCGCGCGTGTGTGTACACGTGGGTGCTCGTGTGTGTGCATGTGTGTGTACACGTGGGTGCTCGTGTGTGTGTGCATGTGTGTGTACACGTGGGTGCTCGTGTGTGTATGCGCGTGTGTGTACACGTGGGTGCTCGTGTGTGTGCATGTGTGTGTACACGTGGGTGCTCGTGTGTGTGTGTGCATGTGTGTGCACACGTGGGTGCTCGTGTGTGTGGTGTGTATGTGTGTGTCCACATGTAGGAGTGGAGGACAACATCAGGTATCATTTCTCCAGTGCTAGCCACCTCGCTCTTTTGAGAAAGGGTCTCTCAGGCTGGAGAGATGGCTCAGAGGTTAAGAGCATTGCCTGCTCTTCCAAAGGTCCTGAGTTCAATTCCCAGCAACAACATGGTGGCTCACAACCATCTGTAATGGGGTCTGGTGCCCTCTTCTGGCCTGCAGGCATACAGACAGAACATTGTATACATAATAAATAAATAAATATTAAAAAATAAAAGAGAAAGGGTTTCTCACTGGGACCTGGCCCTCGCTGATTAGACTGGCTGTCCAGTAAGCCCCAGGAGTCCTTCTGTCTCCGCCTCCCTAGTGCTGGGATTATCAACACACACCAATATGCTTTACTTTTTCAGTGGGTGCTGGAACTTGAATGCTGGTCCCCATAATCACTCAGCAAGCACTGAGTGATTTGCCCACTGAGACAGCATGTCTATGGGGAATTATCTTGCTTGCCTTAAAAGACACAGGAGCCCTAACCTGAAAGCGAGCAGCACCCTGACTGTCTGAGATTATTAAGCATGCTTGTAAGCATAGCTCTCTGCTATTCTGTGGTTGTGCTATAAGCAGCTGCTTTGAGTTTCTGCAGCTGTGAGCCTCCTGAAATGATAGACTATCTGTAATCTGAATTGTCAGTTAAAATAAACCATTTTCCTATGTTGCTTTTTGTTGTTTTCTGGAGACACTATGTAGCCATGGCTTGCCTACAACTCTCTATGTAGACAAGGCTGGTCTTGAACTCCCAGAGAACCACCTGCCTCTACCACCCAGGCACTGGGCTTAAAGGAGTAGTATTTAGAGGTCTGCTGGGAAATCTGTGAGAACAAGAGGTCACCCTGTTAGGTGTTCATTGGATAGAGGCAGAAAGAGGCCACCAAGCAAAGGGACAGTGTGGAGCAGGGAGAAGCAGCAAGCTGCATTTCCTGCAGGGAGAAGGTCAGAGAGAGATTGGGAGACAGGGGAAAGTGCCAGGTAAGGGGAGCCTGGAATGCCACAGCCAGGGGGTGGATGCATGGACCCTGCACAGCTGACTTCCCACAACCAGGGGCTGGATGCATGCATTGCTCCTGCATGACTGGTTTCCCACAACCAGGGGCTGGATGCATGGCTCCTGCATGTCTGGTTTCTCACAACCAGGGGCTGGATGCGTGGCTCCTGCATGTCTGTTTTCCCTGGAGCCCACCTCTTTGTGCTTTCATAAACAAACCCCAGTAAATCACGGCACTGACGTGCAAGGCCTGTGATCCCAGCAATGTGAAGCTGAGGTTTGGACTTATGGTCTAGATGGAGTTGGGTGCTTCAGAGGACTTCCTGAACAGGAAAAGAAGACAGAGGTAGCATCAGAGTGAGGCTGGCAGTCAGGTCAGGCAGGAGGAATGGACAGAAAGGGAGAGAGGCACCGCACAGTGAAGAGTGGAGGGTCATGGAGGGCCAGGGAGGGTCGTGGAGGGTCAGGGAAGGTCATGGAAGGTTGTGGAGGACCAGTGTGGGCCATGGAGGGCCAGGGAGGGTCATGGAAGGTTAGGGAAGGTCATGGAGGGTCAGGGAAGGCCGTGGAGCGTCAGGGAAGGTCATGGAAGGTTGTGGAGGGTCAGGGAGGGTCATGGAAGGTTAGGGAGGGCTGTGGAGGGCCATGGAGGGTCATAGTGTGCCAGGGAAGGTCATGGAGGGCCAGGGAAGGTTGTGGAGGGTCAGGGAAGGTTGTGGAGGGTCAGGGAGGGTCATGGACAGTCAGGAAGGGTTGTCAAGGGTCAGAGAATGTCATGGGGGGCTGTGGAGGGTGAGATAAGGTAGAAAACAGTGTGTATGAGAACTAACTAGCAAAGGTAGAAGGTTCTGATGGATGGAAGAGGGGGTGTATGATCCAGAATTACAGAGTGCAGCTTGCCCAGGACTTAAGGAGAGAAGCTAGACAAGAGGGTAGGAGGCTGCAGCCAAGAAAAACAGGTACCTACACCTTCTCAAGTGTCTATCTGCGAAGCCCAGGCATGTGACCCGTGGCTACATACCTTAAAAGCAAGGGTTTTCCAGGCCTCAGGCCATCTACCCTTCCCCAATTCAGTGCTAATTAGTTTAGCAAGCACACAGGAGAAAATAAAATGATTCATCTAATTTAAAGCAGCAAAGAGTTTTTGGACTTTCACGCAGCCAAAAAAAATCATGCTTCCAAAAAAAATATCTCACGCTAGGCTTCATTATTCCACAACTGTGAGTTCCAAAAACAAAAGAAGAGGGTGCTGGGAGGTGGCTCAGCAGCTAAGAGCATTTCCTGTTCTTGCAGAGGACTCAGGTTTAAGTTCCTTTTATCTGCTGCCCACAACCACCTGTAACCCCAGGTTCTGGGGCTCAGACTCCCTTCTGGCCTCCAAGTGTGCTGCACACATATGGTGCGCTTACACACACAAGAGCAATCACACACATAAAAACAGAGTGAAGACAAATGAAGGGTTTCCTTTATTCTTTTAAGAGAGAGACAGAAAGAACGAACCGAGGCTTCCGAAAGTTGGCTGAGTTTGGTGGCAGAAGCCTGTGTAAACAGAGACCGCTCATTCATTTCCTGGCTTTTCTGTGTGATTATTCTGGTCTGGGCAGCCGGGAAACCAAGGCACGGGTCTGTAATTCCAGAAACCGTGAAACTGAGACGGGAGGCTCTCAAGTTCAAGGCCTGCCTGGACAACTAGTGAGAATACCTTGCTTCAAAATACAGAAAATAAAAGGACTGAGGGAATAGCTGAATGCTAAACACTTGTCTAGTTTGCACAAGGGCCTAGGTTTAATCCCCTGGTATCTCCAAAACTAACGTGTGTCTGTGTGTGTGTGTGTGTCCAGACGGACAGAGGCAGGAAGCAGGTGACAACTGATTGGGAGAACAAGAACCACAAAGTGCTGAAGAAGGGGGAGCAAAGGCTGTAGCTCCCGTTAAGGCTGAGGTCACATTTTGGTGACCAAGGGGGCATGGGGAGATAAATAGAGTAACGCTAAGAGATAAAAAGCCACCAGGCTGAACAAGGCGTAATGGGAGCTGGCAGCCTCTAGGGCCTCCTCTTGGGACTCACTGAAGGCTCACCTTCCTTTTGTTTTCAGTTCTGAAACCACTTGGTCACCAGCTCTGAGAAGCGCTAAGGTTGAGATCAGCTTGTGCGCTCACGGGGCTAGAGGCAAGGTACCAAGCCTGTGGTTGCCGCCATTCCCCTGCAGCAACGGGGCAGTATGGGAAACAGGTGGAAAGAGCCAAAGTGTTTATTTTGCGGAGGGACTTACAGACAGCAATCCTGACCAATGGCATCAGTCATCAGAGAGAGCTAGAGTGAGCCCCAGGCTCCTGGACCTCCAACAGCCAGGGCTCCCCAAAGCCCTGCCCAGCTGGGTTTGTTCCCACATCATTTCCTCTGTGGTATTCTGTAGATCATTTTCTCTCTGCAGGAAACAGTTCCTAGAATTTCCGTTCCATTTTAGAAGCCAGGAGATCATTACTGGCAGCATGCTGACAGTGCACAATCGGCTGTAATGTCTTCCCAGGACCTCAGCAGGCCCTGTGCCTGACGCCCTAAGCCTGATGTAGGCTGTTTCTGTAAACAGACAGCCCCCAGCTGAGGAGCTTTCTTTGATGCCCATGAGGGAACCCACCTCGTGTAGATTTTCCTAAAGAAACACTTCCCAAGGAAACCAGAAAAGGAGCATATGGACACAGTCCTCTGACGAGTCCTTTTCTGAGAGAGATGTTGTTTGAGAACAAAATGGGAATCGACGGCCCAGTGTGGCTCTGTCCTCCTCATCCTCAGCCCCTTTACCAGCTCTGTGAATCCGCTCTGCTTCGTGGGGTACGGACAGAACCCAAGGGCACTGTCTACAGGCATAGTAGAACATTTCCTCGACTTGCCTGCAAGGTGGCGGGCCTGAGACGCGGAGTACCTAGCTCTCTGAAATGAGGGAAGGCTTGCTAGAAGAGCCGCTGAGTGGAAGCGGAAACACAGCTCTCTTATGCCCTTCTTTGATTGGGCACACTGCCCCGAGGCTTTAGTACTAGCTTTCTGGGAGGTTGAGGTAGGAAAAACGCAAGTTCAAGTCTAGCCTGGCTGAGAGAGAGTTCAAGGCCAGTCGAGGCAACTTAGTGAGACTCTGCTCAAAACAAAAGGAACAAAAGGAAGGGTTGGGGTAGAACCCAGTGGCAGAGCAAGGCCCTAGTACAGGAAGCACAAAACAAAACAAACAAAACCTTTTTAAAAAAATGTTATTATCGGGAGGCAGAGGCAAGTGGATCTCTGTGAGTTCGAGGCCAGCTTGGTCTACACAGCAAGTTCCAGACCAGCCAGGGCTATATAATGAGACCCTATCTCAAATAAATTAAATAAAATGTAATCACCTCGGAATCCTCTTTCTATATCCCATAAATAACTACCAAGAAAAAAAAGCTTTTTAAATATTTTTGGTACAGGGACCAACGTGGAAGCACAGTGGGCTATATCCCAGCCCAAGACTGAATCTCCAAAGGCTGACTCCTTTGGGGAGGAGTCAGTGTTTGGACCATTCACCAACCCCCTGACCACAAAACAAAACAACCAAACAAGCAAACCAAAACTAACTAAACAAGGCGCCGAGCCAGACACCCTCCTGACTCACCCCTGTAATAATCACTGAGAACAAAAGTTGTACGAAAACAGCAGGTAGAAACCGTATGTCGTCCTTAGGGACTGGAGCTGAGCTGCCTTCTGTCTTGGTCCCAGAAAGGACCTGAGTGTTGTGTGATTGACTCATGGGCAGGACTCTGGACTCTGGCCTGTGCTGAAATTCAAATGCAATAAATATTGAGGGTTGATGAGCCAAGCAGAGAATCCGTGAGATGCCCATGGCTGTGTGCCTGGGTGGTTTGGGTCAATGACGGCGTCTCCGTGATCGTAGCGGACTTGGGACCTGGTTTAAGGGAAATGGCTCTGCTGTTGAGCTCTGACTTCTCCAGGTTCTCTGTGAATCTCAACACCGTGGCAAACCCGGACCCCATACTGTGATGTCTGGGTCGGGGTGCATCTCTCCGAGGGGTCCATAGGTATGGGTCCCTCAAACTGTAAACAGTGCTGGTGGCTTCAGGACTGAGAACCAGTGCCCTGAAGGGATCCTGCATTGCTGGCTTCCCTGCATCCCACATCTTTGGGCTTACACAAACAAACCCCACTGAACCAGGACACGGGTGTGCAGGGAACGCACAGCAGCCCTGAGAGTCTAGGAGGTAGAAGAGGCTGCCCTGATGGCCGGTCCTTCACGGGGCGGAGCTTCCCTAGTCAAGGCTTCCGGTGGGCGACCCTGTACCTGGTGGGGCAGCAGCAGGCACCAGGAAGGCAGCAGCGGTGAGAACAAGGAGAGAAGTCCACCAATCAGGTGCTGGGAACTTCTGGAGTCCGTCTGGATTCCTGAGATTCTCTCATCCTGGGGGGAGTAGGAGCCCCAAGAGGGTTCTGGGTAGAGGGCTGAGGACAGCAGCGGCAGCAGAAGAGAGACAAGAGCCTTGAGCGGACTGCGCGGGTGCAGAGGGCGAACATGATGCAGTTGGCCCCTCCCTGGAAAGTGTTCCCAATGCCCTGGTGGAAGGGGAGAGTCATAAACACGGGGCTGGGAGTATTCCAGAAATACAGTCGACGGGACTCAGTGGGCTCTACGAATCCTATGACCTTTCCAGTCCCAGCCTCTACATTGTGGCGGGATGAGCTCAGATACATGGCCTTAAGCAGAGTTCTGGACAGGCCAGAAGTGGCTGGCCACCTAGCCAGACTTGCATTTAGGCCTTCTGCAGTGAGAAGGATCCGGGATCAGTTAACTCTACAATGGCTTCTCTAGGCTGCTCAGAACAACCACACAGATTTCTCCCCATCCCTAACTGCAAAGCCATGCTTGTTTGGGGACAGGGAAAGGACACTGAGCTACCCCGCTTCCCCTAGGCCCATCCTGGGACCTTAGATGTATCAGTCTGTAGGGAAGGGATCTGGCCATGCCACAGTGGGGTAGCAGGGCCCACGGGGACAGACATACGTGCAAAACAACCAGCACAGGAGACTTGACAGCTGGGGAGCCGCAGAGGGTCAGGACGAAGCGCACAGTGCTCCAGACCCGGAGACAGATGAATATGAGCGGAATCAGGATCAGTTTCTTATCAGCCATGGAGGCGGAGGAGCCTCGCTGCAGCTGGCGCGCCTCACAGATGGGCCGGTACTCAGAGAGGGCCTGGTGCTGTGTGAAGAAGGACAGGGAGCAAAGACCTGAGCCAGGCGGCCCCTGCCCGCAACCACCCACGTACATCCACAGGTCCACACAACCCACCAGCCCGGGAAGGCAAGAGAGGGGGCACTGTGGCCTTTTCCACTTGGACACTGAGGAGGTCTGGAGTCTATCAGATAAACCAGAAGTCATCCCCCACAACCTCCAACTCTCAGATCGGACCCCCTGCCTACTCCATATCTCTACAGGAGTGTCTCTGAGATGTCATAAACCCTGCCCAGGATAAACAAGTCATCTCAACCCTCGGGTCCACTGCACCCTCATTTCAGCCAATGACACTTCATCCTTCCTGTCACCTGTGTGACTTGGGCATCGTCTTTTAGTCCTTTCTTCCCCAGGCACACCTGACCTATAGGCAAGTCGTAAAGGCCACACCTGCAGAACGGACCCAGAAACTAGATACTCTGACCCACCACCACAGCATGGGCCAGGCATGGTCACTATGTCTACTTGGTCTCCTCCTTCCCACGGCAGGTCGTCCCCAAAGCAGGAGGCAAGTTCTCAGAGGGCATATGGCAGGTCTGACGAGCCCGTGACGCCAAGCTCTTGGCGGCTCCACTCCAACCCTTCCTTATACTAGCCCATAAGGGTGAGCCCGCTCAGTCTGGACCTCAGTCCCATTCTCTCCCTTGCTCTGGGTCTCCTCCAGCCCCAGGTCTTAGCTGGTCTTTGCATCTGGAGTGCTCATCACTTGCAGTTCCCTCAGCTTCAAGTCCTTCCCCAGGGTCACATTGTGGGTAAAGCTCACAGACAGCCATTTTGCAAACAGCCCTGAGCCCATTCCAGCCAACCGTTCTTCCCCACCTCCATCCCTGACGTCGCTCACCCTTAATGCTCAGCTTCTCACTGCTATTCCCCTCCCCCTCCACAACACGAGATCCCTGGGGCCAAGGAAAGGAAGGGGCAAGCCTTGGCTCTTGCATTCCTGAGGGACGTTGGTCACGGCAGGAAGGATGCTCGATTTCAAATCACAATCAAATTGGTAAAGCCAAATAAACTGGCCAATGAGAGGCTTGAGGCTGGCCATGTGTTGAGGACACTGAAGCCTGGTGAGGGACTAACCATATGCCCGGCATCCAGGTGGTAAGCTTCAACAGCATACCTGATTAAAAAACCCACCTCCTCCCCTAAGGGTCCATGACAGCAGCCCAGGGCACTAAGTGCCCGTCTCCCACAGATAGGGAGGACAGGGCAGAGAGGTCAGCGGGAGGTGGTGCAGCCTGGAGAAGCTGGACCACTTGGCTGCTCCTCAAGAACCAAGCTTGCCTCCCCATTCATTCTCAGCTCCCCTCCCCATCTCCAGGCAGAGAATGACTATGTCCTCACCTCCCTAACCACTTCATACCTTTGCTTTTCTGAAAACCCTTGACAAATCGCAAGAGCTAATTGTCACATGCCAGGGCCAGCCTGGCAAGCAGGGGGCTGATCTAGGAAGGACAAAAAGCACACACACCGGGGTAGAGCCTGGTAGAGCTGCAGGGGGCGTGGGGGACTTTATTCTCCAGGAGCAGCCCCCATCTTCCCAGGTCAGTGGGAAGAAGAGCATGCAGAAGAGGTTGTCTGTGTGGGAACGTACTGGTAGCTCTGCTCTCCAGTCAGGACTCCAGACTGGAGTCCAGTCCAGGGCCCAGCGAGGACACAGGGCAGGTGAAAATCGGAGAACTGGAGTCTCAGCAGACAGAGGTGTAGGTGCTGTGCCAGGATGAGGTGTCCCAAGAACACAGATGCCCGCAAGGAGCATCCTAACTCAGGAGTGGCTGCTCAGGGCCAGGTGTGGGTCTTTAATCCCAGCACTGGGGAGGCAGAGGCAGGTGGATCTCTGTGGGAGTTCAAGGCCAGCCAGTGCTATGCGGTGAGACTGTCTAAAAGAAAGGAAGGAAGGAAGGGAGGGAGGGAAGAAGAAAGAAAGAAAAAAAAAGTACAAAGGAAACTAACTGCTAAGTCAGAAGAACCCATGCCTATGGGTGTGGCTGAGGGATAAGAGTATTTAAGCAAGCAGAGGTCCTGAGTTCAGTCTCTAATAACACAAAACAAAACATCCCAGTACGATTTGGGGAAAAAAATAAGCCAGGGATGCTTATAGTTTCACTCCGTGAGAAGCAGAGGCAGGAGGATCAGAAGTTTACAGCTGTCCTCGGTTACAAAGTCTAGGCCAGTCTGGGCCACATCAGACCCCGTGTCTGTGTCCAGGGCAAAGGGATACAATACATTTGATAGAGCGCTCACATCACGTATAAAGCCCTGGGTTCAATTTCCAGCACTGCAGAAACTGGCCTGGTGGTGCACACCTGCAATCCTAGTACCCAAGGATTGAACAGAAACTTAAGGTCATTCTTGACAGTATAGTGAATTCCAAATTCAGGGCAAACTATGACTGCTTCTGCCACCATCAGTTTATCTTTGACCTTGATCGCTTAGGCTCCCTTTCTGGACAGTCCTATTGACTTATGATCTCCTGAAAAGGCTGACACTTGGGACACAATTTTGACCACCAAGGGTCAAAGTTAGCTGTGGCCACCATCCTTGACTTTGAACTCCTTAGTGTAATACTGGGATGGCCACACGGTGGCAGTGCAGGACCGCGGTTGAGAACGCAGCTCTGTGGTCCAGCTACTTCGGTCTCACCTATACCAGGACTAGCCAACAAGCCTATTCACGATCCCGTATTCAGTCCAAGCACAGAGTTCCTATGGCCTGGCACTAGTTTAGTCCCTTAGAGAATTAGTCTGTCCCCGAAGGGCCAGCACATCAGACACCTACCGCTCTGTTGATGTGTTTTCTGACCAGAAGGTACAGTAGAGGCAGTAAGACATAAGCCAGCATCTCCCACAGCTTCCCAGTCAGGAGCATCCACATGACACGGTCCTCAGCCTCCAGGTTCACCCAGCACCAGCCCACGGACACGTCAGAGGCATCGTAGCCTATCTTCTTCAAAGAGACAGCGGCCACTGTGATGGCCAGCGGGACACCCCAGCTGAAGAATACACGAAAAGAGGGGTGCCAAGGTTAGCCCCTAGTCCTGCAGTGTTATCCCTGCAGAGAACAGTGCTCCCCAAACCAGCATCAGATAGTGTTACAGTGTTCCTGTAAATCAAGGGAGGGCAGGAAGGGCAAAGGGGAGCCTGTTCTGATTTAGAATTTCAGGACTTTGTGGCTTGGTCAGAAGAGCGATTGGATTGATTGTGTAGTATGGATGAAGCTCTGGGTTCAATCTCTCGTGCCGCAGAAACCGGGCACAGTGGCATATGCCTATAACCTCAGTGCTTGGGAGGTGGAAGCAGATAGATCACAGAAAGTTTCAGGCTAGCCTGGACTACACAGTAAAATGCTAGCCTGAGCTACAGACTGAGACACTCTCAAAACAATCTCCTAAATGACACAACCTGCAAAAGATGCGGGTTTGGTACCTCACAACCATCTGGGGCCAAGGGCACTTGCCTGCCCATGGCCTATGATCTCCCATCCAGGCCCAGAGAATCCACTCCCAACTTCTGTACCCCAAGCTCTCCTAGGTTGCCAGGGGACTGACTGAGGTTGTGAGTACTTAGACCTGGATACCAATGCAGGCAAATACTTGTATAGAAAAATAAAATAATTGAAAAATAAAGGTCCAGTGCTCCTCAGAGAGGGGTGTGGCCAGACAGATCCAGCTCTTACACGCCCCAGCTGGCTCCTCTCCCTGCACCCACAGGGGTGTGGTCCAGTACGCCAACTTCAGCCTGCGAGTCTAGGCTTCAACATTCACACCCTCAGTCAGTCCCCAGGCAACCTGCGGGATCTTGGGTTTCAGGAATTGGGAGAATCCAGGGTCTAGAATCGTGGGCTATGTGTAGGCAAATCCCCTTGGCTCTGAAGCCTCCTTTCTCACACGGAGCAAGTGTAGCCTGGTAAGGGTCAAAGTGACCGTCTAGAACATCTGGTCAGGTGGTGCACCACTGGGGACCCTACCTGGCTCCGCCATTTGGAGAACACCCCCACCACAACACAACTGGAATTAGGTCCAAGCCCCAAGTCTCCTTTCCAAGAATCCCTGCCCAGTCTCCTTCCAAGACACCTTATCAAAGGGACGCCTCTTGTGGAGGTGACACAGGGGTTGAGTGCTCCGACTTTGATGCAATGGGCTGGGTCCAAACTACCACTCTGTGGCCACTTAGGCAAGCTGCTTAGCTTCGGCACGCCAGCATCTCCACAGGGTGGGGGTGATGATGGCACCACCTGAGGAAAGCCAGATGAGCATCCATGCGGCTCCCACAAGCCCAGGCAGCCACACATGTGCCAGCTGCCAGGAAGACTGTGATTAGAGGCACGCTTGGCCGTACACGCCTGTAATCCCAGCACTGGGAAGGTAGATGCTCGGGAGGCCTGGGCTCTGAGGTGAGACCCCATCTGCTGTAATGTTTCAGTGTTCATCAGAATAAAGCAGGTGGATGTGTGGCGTGTGTATACACACATACATACATATATATACACATACATACATATATATATACACACATACATACATACACACATAGGTACATACATACACACATACATAATACACATGCATATATACATACACACATACAAACAAACATACATACATACACAATACATACATTTATCATACCTGTCACTGACAGGAGGATGGGAAGCACACAGCTCTAGCTAAAATTCCTTGGCACGAGGGTACATAAGCAATGTCTACTCCTTCCCCTAAGGTCCCAAACTGAGAACATTTCTGCTGAAGTTCCCTCTGGAGAACCAATGAATTTATTGGGCGTTCCTTACAGCTCATAGGTGGGGGGTTACTTATAGGGGTGTGGAAGCTCCTTCCTAAAAGGCCGTATCAGAAAACTGTTCCTTTAGCTAGCAGAGATGAGGACTTCCCCATGGGTCACCTAGATGGAGGCCCCCACCCCTTAGTCTTCCTATGTGCTCCATCCCTTCCCCAAGGACACACGCAAGTAAGGCAGAGGGACAAACAACAGGTGGCAGGAAGCAGCTGGACACTCAGGTGAGGGTCTTGTGACCTCTCGACCTCCTCATGAGGGAATGCTAACGGTCAGCAGGCCCGGCTGGGAGAAGTAGGCTCAGAGGACAATCACAACAGCAGCCTGTACGTGATACGAAAGTATTCAGTTCTTGGGGCTGCTGGGACAGCTCAGTGGGTAAAAGTACTAAACCTGATGACCTGAGTTCCGTCCCTGGGACCCACGAGGCGGAACTTGCCCTCTGACCTCCACATGTGTGCCATGGCAATTCGTGCCCGCCCCTCAAAAATAAATAAATGTAATTTTAAAAGGTCTACAAGCAAAAGCACATATTCATGTTTTTATACCAAGTATGTGTCAAGCCCATACAGCTGATAGAATCTCCAGGGATGCTTCTGGGGAGCCCCACTCTGCCCGACCAGTCATGCTCAGGAATTTAGACTGATCCCGTCACACAAATTGAGCTCCTAACTTTCATTTTCTGTAGCATCTAAGAAGAAAGTGAAAGCTAGGCCCTGTAACCCCAGCACTAGGGAAGCTGAAGCAGGGGGATTGCCAGGAGTCTGAAGCCAGCTTGGGCTGCAGAGTGAGACCCTCTCTGAAGAAACAGAAAACACAGAGAATACGACACAGACTGTAAGTTCACTAGACCATGACTAAGAGACTTCTTGGCCAGACGAAGCACGGTGCTCCCAGGTTGCTCGAATGCTTCCTTGTTCCTTCCACCCCCATTCTTCTCGCGGCCTCCCCGCTGGACACTCAGCTTCCTGTCTGCCCCCACAGGGCACTGTCTCGGCTTCAATTTGGGGTTGGTGACACTTTTACTCTTTATGTTTTAAAGATCTATTTATTTCATGGATGTGAGCGTGTTTTGCCTGCATGTATGTATGCATATCACCCAGAGGCCAGAAGAGAGAGTCATATCCCCCAGAACGGGAGTTTCAGGCGGTTGTGAGCAGCTGTGTGGGTGCTGGGAACCAAACCCAGGTCCTCTGCAAGAGCAGCAAGTACTCTTAACCGCGGAACCATCTCTTCAGCTGCCTCTGCCCCACAGTTCATGGTATTATTAAAGTTACCTCCATGGCTTAAGTTTTTTTGAGACAGAGTCTCATGTGGGCCAGGCTGACAAGACTGGGTGCCACCTCGGCTCTCCAAACCTCTGATTCTGAAGCAGGGGACCTCATGGATTAGGGTCTGTCCAGGGGGAAGAAAGTTAGCACACCACACCCCGAGCCGATCCCTCACCTGGAGTGGCAACAACAGCACCTCCTGGCAGAGCCTGGTCTCCTAGTTCCTGTTCACCTGGAACCCAAGGTCAGGCTCTGCATAGGCTTCCTCCCTTCTCAAGCAGTTACAGACCAAACCGTGCTCCATTCCAGGTCTGTCTCTTGAAGTCCTGACCCTCAGAACCTGAGAAAATGACTGTTTGGAGACAAGGTGGCCGCCAGTGGGTCCACCCCCAAGAGCAGGCATCTGATAGGAGCGGATTTTGACTCCGACAAGCACAGAGCGACAACTTGTGAGGGTCCAGGAAGTCAGCACCATCTATGAGCCAACCATCTCCTGGCCCACACCTTGAGCTTCTAGCGGGCTGTTGTTGACACCCCATGCAGGACAGAGGAGTCACTACCCCAGCCCCCGCGGAGCTGAGCTCCAGAGTCAAAGGAATGAACTGGAAGAACTTAGGGAAGAGAAAACTAAAGCAAAGCCTCTTGGCTTTCTCCAGTCAAGCCCCTCTGGGGACTCTTTACCATTCTAGCTTTAAATCCCCAGGGAAGCGAAACTGGAAGCAGTCACACAGGAAAGAAGCAAGCCACCCTCATACTAGGAATCCCCTGGCGTTCCTGTGATGGCCTCAGGCAGGTGGCTGTCCCCAGAATAGCAACGTGTTGGATGACCACTGGAAGCAGGCCCCTTGGGGATCCCAGCTCTGCCCATCTGGGGACGTTCTGTTATAGAGTGGGGGCACTCCTCCCCCTTCGCAGGGTCCAGTGGAAAAGCTGCCCACTGCTTTCCAAAGAGCATTTGAACCATTAGCCCGGGCCCCAGTCCGTCCCACGAAGGGCCCCGGTTGGAAGTGGGTTCCAGGCATCCTGTGTTTCTCGGTTCCTTCTGATCCTTGGAGACTGGCAACTTCTGGGTAGGAAACAAAGTGTGGGAGGGGTCTTCCTTTACCCTCTCTGTGCGCCAAATGGCAATTCCTGGTTTAAGACCAGTGGTTATAGACAGCCTTAAAGTGTTAACAGAACGGGGGAGGGGGTAGAGGAGACTGCCCGGCAACAACGCTCCCGTTTAGAACAGCTCTGGGGAGGAGCCAGAGGAGCCAGAGGGAAGCCCAGCGGAACAGAGCCAGGATGCAGAGGCAGCTTCCCCAGGACAATGGTTACTCACTGTCCCTCTCGTGGGGCAGAGCTAGGACGTGGGAGAGGTTCAGGGGGTCAGTCTCTAGGAGGTCACCATGAGGTCATTCTGTGAATTCAGCTGTGGGAGGGGGAGGGGTATCCTGTGCAATGCAGGACCCACCTGATGACACTGTAGCCCTCAGCAGATGCCCCTGCCCACCTAGGTCCTGGAGGAAGAGAAGCAGTTTGATACTCCCAGAAGAATCAAGAGTAACCTCTGCTGTCCCTGAGGCTCTTGCCCTGGGTTTCCCACTGTAAGATCTTACCATATAATCTTGGGGAAAGACACTGAGTAGAATAGATGGAAACCAGCTCCAATGTGGGGGGCACTGGTGCCCTGGAGTGCTGCTCAAGAGACTGCCTGCCCAGTGTTAGATCAGAGGCCACCCTGTGGACTGTGGAGGAAACCATAGCAGCCTTACCTGCCATCTAGGCTCTTCCCTAAGCAGCTAAACTCCTAGCATTCAGCAGCAGCAGCCCCAAGACAGGGTGGGGCAATAGGACTCACTTTCTGAGCAGGTTCACAGAATGGCTAAACTCAGAGACTGCTCCCTTCTAAGCACAGAGACCCCCACTCTAAAGTCTATAAAGGAATTCCC